CACAGGCTGCGCGAGTCAAAGGCTGCGCGAGTCACAGGCTGTGTGAGTGAGCATTAGTTCAGATCCTGATGGGCAGGTGATAGAAAGGCGATGTATAAAGTCCATTTATTGAATTTCCTGATGCCTGTCAGGGGTATAGAACAATTGAAAGACCACTTCACACTCAATAAATCAAAGAGTGCTACTTAACTGTTGCGCCCTTCATTGGCATGGTTCTTTAGAATGAAGTATTGTGTACTGGAGAAGAGTTGTGCAGCATATCTTTACTTTGATCAGCTCAATAACCTACCATCAGCAGCAATGATGATCTTGGTGTTGTCATACAAATCTGCAACTTCCTCCTCTGTCCAACTAAATTCCACATCAGCATCTACAAAGATTAGACAAATGGAAAGAAGACGTTTTCGGTGGTCAGATGGTGTTTGTTTTTGTATAAATAAGGTGTAAAAGTCAGTAGGCTACACTTGTTTAGCCTACTGACCAGATACATATTATTTACTCAACGTTGCACATCTTCTGCTGCTATGTGTATATACAGCAAGTATCACTCTGGAATCAGCATTAAAAGATTGAAATATTATGGGTTTCAACTTTATGAATAAAATACATGAATATCAATGGAAAATGAAAAGTATTAGTAAACAAAAGTGGTCTTTACATTATTAGTTTACATTTAGGATAAGAATAGTCTGGCTCTATATATTTGTTTAAGGCTCTCAGGAAGGATAGGGTTGGTGTTATTCCATGGTTTCTCATTGCCAGTAAATCTTACTGTCATGGTCATTTGTAGGAAAGTTGGAGTAATTGTGCCAACATCCAAAAAACATAAGTGATAGATAAAAAAAAAATGAAAAGAATTGTGATTGGAATCAGGGAAAACGTTTGTAATGCTAATGGTCAGGGTCCATAAAAGAGCATGACTTCATTTATTTAATACCTCCTGAACTATGAATGAATGTACAAGTTGGAATCTGTGTTTTTGCTGTGTGCACATTTAGTTGCTTGGTTTTTGTCTGATTTAGCAGGCTAACAATTAGGTTAGCTAAAGTTAGCTCGCTACATTATATTCCAACCCGAGACAAAATGTGAACTGCACAGACGAGTGCTTTCGGTCGGTGTCCACTTTGTCCTTTAAATTGCTGCAAACCATTTCTGTCGTCTGTTTGCGTCTTTAGGTAACATAGACACAGACAGTAATAGTCTGTAGAATAAAGTATTCAGGTCTCCTTTCTTGTCATCACATCCCACTGCACAGCATATAGAGGGCATGTTCAGGTTTGAGAGTGGGCTTGAATCTGGAACACGTTTGAAGCCGATGAGAGGTCGGCTGCAAGGCTTCTATACAATAAGAAATCCAGGCATCCTCCTGCACATAGCAGCTGGGTGGATGAGATGATGACGTCATGGGCTTCATTAAAAATTCAACAAACTGTCACAACCATTCCTGAACTGCTATAAAAAAAAAGCTATTGTACCTTTTGGGAATGTCATGGTGTTCATAAATGCCGTTTGTGTTTTTGTGTGGCCAACACACAGTAATCCAGATTGTGCCTGCAAATTCACAAAAACCTGCAGCACTGAGCCGTCTTATTGGTGAATGCTTGATCAATGATGTGATTCTAGGTTAGAAGATTGGTTTGAAAAAGAAGAGTGTGTGTTACCTGTACAAAGGTCATACTGGAGCCAATCCAACTGTCTCACTCTCACTTCACCACCTGATGAATAATACATTAATTATAAACATATAAATAATCACTATTATGCAGGTAAATGCATCTTTCACTACTGTGAATTAAATAAATAGCAAATGGAATACATACATGTGGTAGCCCTTTCTCTGTCTCCATGTGTATTATAAACATACAACATGCAGAGACATCTGCTGATAACACTGTCAAATTATAGTTGTAAACATCCATAAATATTGATAATGCTTCATAACAATATTCACATCAAACTATATGAAAATAAGAATAAGAATAGCTAGTCACTCACTGGCATCTTGTTTTGCAAGGATCATAGTGTATTATAACTCCCATAGCTGCAATACATTATATTATTTTACAATGAAATATAATCATTGTTATCGTACATTATGTGATTGAATGCATTATAATGCATTTAGTTATGATGCATTGTAATGCATTATAAAAGGGACAATAATACATTATAAAAGCATTATGAGTGCTTATAACTAGCTTTGGTTTATTGTTTCCAAAGCTTTGCTATAAAGAGTGTTGCTCTTCTTTCAGTTACACGTTTGGAAGCTGCCCAGCCAAACACACTGTGATTAGTAACAGTGAGCAGCTCCTCTGGGGCATTTTTCGGGTTTTCTCACAGGCTGCAATAGTACTTTATTAAAAGCTGATAAAGCTCTAATTAATTATGTTTGAGGGGCACTCGCTCCTTCTTCTCTTCTAGTGGATTTTCTCATCAACGGAATCATTTATAAGATAAATAATTCTGACAGTGCACAAGTATACAGACAAACAAGAAGTGCCTTTAATTACTCTATAATGTTTAGTTTTTATTCTCGAACAGAAATATTCATACAATTCGTTAGTTTGGGGAAACTCTTCACTGCTGGATGAAAAGAACAGGATGTAGTTGTATATGTTAGATGTACAGCAGCAGTAACCATGCTGTTATCTCACCTGCAGGCTCTATTATGTGTTGATTTAATGTCACATTCTTCTTGCACATGCTGAGAAGGTCTTCTCCCACATCTGTGAAACAAAATCTGGTATTTCAGCAACAAAACACAAACAGGAAGATGTCCACGTGAGCTGATGTTGTTTTTGTCACCTTGAGAAGAGCTTTGCTCTGTCATTCCAAACGCCATGTAAGGTTCACTAGATCTACAGGGGCTGCTATTCAGCTCCTCATCGCTCCACTGTCCAAAGATGTTGTCTTTTTGTTTTTTACCTCCCCTTTCTTATGTCGGTATAATGTGTAGCATTGATTATTGATGATGGAATAAGTCGGAGAAAGGCTGATTGGCATATGATGCAGAGCAACTCATTCTCACTCCCAACTCGTCTAATATCGCTGCTTGGTCAGAGCCCCTCGGAACTGGAGATCGACACACTAGGTTCCGCTCTAGCGCTAGTTTTCAACTTATTGGGGCCGAGCGTTAATATATGCTCGTTACGTGCATAGTGCCCATTGGAGCCGGGTGCGCCGCATGCAGTCGCTAAAGGATGCGTCCATCTCTGATGCTGGGAGCACTGACTAAGTGGGGAGCAGACTCACAGGGGAAACCTGACTTGATTTTAAATACGAATATGAAAAATGTGGAATTTCTTCTATTAGTACCCAAAATATGATCAGGCTACAGCATGTATTCATTCAAAGACATGAATATAGTCATTGGCTTCAAGGCAATATCTGAATTAAAAACGGAGGGCTCTGTGAATGAACTGAAAAAAGGAAGTTCATTGTGGACGTAGAGATCAGTATGTTAACAAATAATCCCAGCACATAGAACCTGATGACACCTGAGCCAGCTTCAGAAGTGGACCTTTGACTAAGACCATCAATGCTCACGTTGATTCAGTTGTATCCACAGAATGTTACATGTTATATTCAAAGAAACTTACAGTAGCTGATACAGTAAGGTGTTTTCAGTTTTAAGTAGGATAACTTGCTTGATGCCATTATACCTGTGCAGTACAGTGTTTTGGCTATGGTTGCCATGACGATGCTGGTTAAGCCTGTTCCTGCTCCCAGCTCTAGGACTGTAGCTCCTCTGAACATGTGCGGTTTAGAGAGGATGAAGTCAGCCAAGAGGAACGCCCCAAGCCACACCTGATGTGAGCAAAAAGACACGGTGCTTTAATACCTTCAAAATATAACCACCACTTACACAATCACACTTCAGCATGACGTGTTTCACCATGATTTAGATCTACACATACACCATTATGGATGTAGTGGTCCATGCTACATTAGGGGACAAGTGGCTCTACCTTCTGAGCTACAGCAGTTGCTATTGTTGCGATAGTAGGTAAATAACCGGATGTTCTTGTTCCCTATAATGGACATTTTGTGATTCATGATCTTATTGCAATACAAGTGTATATAAAACAGCAACAAATTCAGTTGGCAGGACAGCATAAATCATTGTAGAAGGTTACTCATGGTCTTTCTGGTGATGTAGATGCAGGGAAAGCGCATCCAGTGCACGTAAACCTAAACCTCCCCAAAACCTCCTCAGAGCAGAGTGGCAGCCAAAGAGGGAGCAGAGCACTAATGGCTTAAGCATCACCATGATTGAAGAGTGTGTTATAAACAGCATATGTTGCAGGGAGAGGAATGTGTCATGTGCACGTGGTGGTTGGTTTGAGTAGCGCAGTCTGAACTGGCTGTTCATTTAGTTCGACACGATTGACTGAGTTACAAGGTTACTTTGTGCGACTGTGGCTCGGTGGGTCGTCCTTCAATCAGAGGATCGGTGGTTCGATCCTCTGATTGGTCGATGTGTCCTTGGGCAAGACACTTAACCCCAAGTTGCTCCCGTAGCTGTGCCTACGGTGTATGAATGTGAGATAGAGTCCTGATGGGCAGGTGGTACCTTCATCAGTGCCACATTTGAATGAAACTCATAGCTCATTTTAAAGTCTTCACCACACCCTATGTTACATGTTGCCTTAAAGGAGCAGTGTGTACGTTTGGCACCATCTAGTGGTGAGATTGCAACCAACTAAAACATCTCCCATGTGCCAAGGAGAAGTAAGGCAAATGTCCCTGTCTAGAGTCAGTGTTAGATTTGTCCGTTCTAGGCTACTGTAGAAACAGGGCAGCCAGCTCCAAGAAGAGAACCCGCTCCATTTGTAGATATAAACGGCTCATTTAAAAGGTAACGGAAACACAATTATTCGTATTTTCAGGTGATGATACACTATAGAAAACATACTTAATATCATATTCCATTTCTGTTAACAGATACCTCTAAATGTTACGCAGTGTTCCTTTAACCCAAACACAAATCCTCAGTAAATAAACCTCTGGATGTTTTGCATTTAGGACATCACATAAGCATCGGAATGTAACTGACTGTGGCCTTTGAAAAAGTTTCAGGCACATATGATGGCATTTTTCAAGAATATGCATCATAGCTTCATATTCGACGACAGGTGAAACAGTCGCCTCTCAAAGCCACCTGTTGTTTGGGGACTCGGTGAGGGGGAGCAGCCACAGACAACAGAGTTCACTCAATTGTACTGACCTGTTTGCCAACGTCCTCCAGGGTCGTGGCCATAGTGTGCTCTGTAAATGGATTGGATTCATACATTAAACACTCCGTAGTTATTATATCGTGCACTATATTTACCTATATACACTATATTTATTTAATGATCACATTCCCAGTGTTTTAAATGAAAAGGGTAAATCACAGGCAGCTCCAGACGTTTCCTGTTATTACTGGTGTACTGGGGGAGAAGGATCAAACCATTCAGTAAACATGAAACTGCCATAGTGACTTTCTGTGTTTAGCTGTGGAACCCGACCTGGAGATGTACATATGCCCTAATCTGATTGGTTATCGGCTCATGAACATGACGTTCATTCAAAGAATATTAAACTCTCCCTAGATTCTCTCATTCCCACGCAGGCGACTGTTTGCTTCCCATTGATGAATGGGAGCCTCGTGATTCGCTTTTAGTGTGTGTGCTGTAACATGGACATGATTCCAACAAGGAATGTCAACCAATATTCTAAAAAAAGATATTCAAATATGAAAATGTGGATGTCTGCCTCACACCCACTGAATGCCCCGCATGATGGGAGTCATGCGTCACTTTGATTAATTCAAAATGAAATGTAACGTCAGGTCAAACTGATGGAGGAATAATTCAACAACAACCATAATGATGGCAGAGAACTGGGCCACAGAGAGAGAGACACCGTGTTCTAACAGCAAGTGTAAAGTTACATCATGGAACACATCACGCCTGTCCCTGGTATCCTGCATCTAGGCACCTCAAGGGTTGCGGTTGATATATGTATATATATGATATGTTAGAGTCAAACACAGATTTGCTTTTGCGTGACATTCATGATAACCATGATGATGATCATCATCTGAAATTATAAAAACATAAATAAAATGGAGGTTCTTCTTACCAATCTTTATAATGTCTTTATCATCTGTATACTCGTCTTCTTCTTCCAGTGCAGAGTTAGACTGTTTGAGAATGATGGGACAGACCAGATCTCGGCCACTCTCCTCGTTGGGGTTCTTCCTCGGTCTATGGAGTCGTAAGAATAGTATGAAATGCATCTATGGAAGACAGCAAGATACACAGGTGGACAAAACTGTTGGTACCCTTCCATTAAAGAAAGAAACTTAACTTAATATTTTGTTGCACGACCTTTTGAGGCAATCACTGCAATCAAGCGATTTCTGTAACTCTCAGTGAGACTTCTGCACCTTTCAACAGGTATTGTGGCCCACTCCTCGTGAGCAAACTGTCTGAGGTTTGAAGGGTGCCTTCTCCAGACTGCATGTTTCAGCTCCTTCCACAGATGTTCAATAAGATTTAGATCAGGGCTTATAGAAGGCCACTTCAGAAGAGTCCAATGTTTTGCTCTTAGCCATTCTTGGGTGTTTTTAGCAGTGTTTTGGGTCTTTACCTGTTGGAGGACCCGTGACCTGCGACTGAGACCAAGCTTTCTGACACTGGGCAGCACATTGCGCTCCAGAATGCCTTGGTAGTCTTGAGATTTCATTGTACCCTGCACAGATTCAAGACACCCTGTGCCAGATGCAGCAAAGCAGCCCCAGAACATAACCGAGCCTCCTCCATGTTTCACAGTAGGTACAGTGTTCTTTTCCTTGTATGCTTCATTTTTGCATCTGTGAAAATAGAGCTGATGTGACTTGCCAAAAAGCTCCAGTTTTTAAACTGGAATTTTCCAAAATGCCTATTGATGACAAGCCACAAAGCTTCTGGGAGAATGTCCTTTAGACAGATGAGACAAAACTGGAGCTTTTTGACAAGTCACATCAGCTCGGGGCGGCCACGGCTCAATGGGTAGAGAGGGTTGTCCGCAAGGTCAGCGGTTCGATCCTTGGGCTGCTACGTGTCCTATGCTGAGGTGTCCCTGAGCAAGACACTGAACCCCTAACTGCTCCCCGGGTGCTTCTCAGCAGCCCACTGCTCCCAATAAGCTAGGGATGGGTTAAATGCAGAGGTCAAATTTTGTATATGTGTATATGACAATAAAATCCTTTAACTTTAACTTTTTACTGTGAAACATGGAGGAGGCTCGGTTATGTTCTGGGGCTGCTTTGCTGCATCTAGCACAGGCTGTCTTGAATCTGTGAGTGGGCCACAATACATGTTGAAAGGTGCAGACGTCTCATTGAGAGTTACAGATATCACTTGATTGCAGTGATTGCGTCAAAAGGTTGTGCAACAAAATATTAAGTTAAGGGTACCATCATTTTTGTCCAGGCCATTTTCATTAGTTTGGTTTTTTTAATTATTCTGTTGAACCACAATTCAAAAGCAATGTCTGATTTTCATTAGTTCATTTTCAGTACATTTATTTATTATTACTTTTGTCAGTTTCAAGTTATTTCAGTGACCATCGTGGGTTTTTCTTTCTTTAACGGAAGGGTACCAACAGTTTTGTCCACGTGTGTATCTACCAAAGCTTTCATTCCTATCTGTACTGGCAGTGCACCGCTGAATTACAAAACACACACCATCACTAAAAAAATTACGAAAATAGAACTTTTGTACCAAATAATTCTGACAGGTTTTACAGAGCTGAAGTATAAAGGAGTGAACTACTGGTTCTGGTCTGGTTTTAGACCATGACAGTGCACTCACACTGGAACAGCCCCCCATGTTTTAACTGTTGACTAAACGTACCGGTGCTTGATGTCAAGGTCTCCGTCCACATCCAGAAATGGTTCCACATTTCCTGCCCCGCCTTCCTCTCCATCTTTTCCTTGTGTGACTTGAGTGTCTTTATCCCCGTTTTCCCTTGGTTCATTTTTTTGCTCCGTCTCCTTTAAACCTTTCCCTGGCTCACTGCTGTCGTGCTTTTCACTGTCTGACAGGATCCTGAATTTAGAGAGGAAGACTGGACGGATGAACACGACAACGGTAGAAAGTGAGAGGACGAAATGAACACATGAAGTGGAACAGTGACATTGAACATTTGATATATACCAGGACAACACAAATTGATTTTTATCATTCTTGGTCTTTAATCAAATATATATATACATATATACATATAACGTATATTTATATCACGTATATGTGAAGGGTGACCTGTGCATATACCCCAAATACTGTAAACTGATAAGAAATCCTGCACACTGTCGAGCAGAACCTGAAGAGAAACAACTGGAGGTCTGTTCGTGAGTTTGCTATACTTTTGCTCATGACAGCAGTCATTATCTTCCCATCTAAAGTCACCAGCTTATTTACAGACGGGATTAAGTCAAATACTAAGAATTCAAGACTGGGAGGGCCCCGTGGTCACACTGCTGTGAGAGGGTCACCAGCCAGCTGCCTGAAGTACAGATGCACCGATATCGGATATCGGTCCCATAGTGACTTAGGTACGTATATGTGACAAAGGGCTGATCTGGTATCAGATTCCATGATTTCAATAAATAACAATTAAGTATATATATATGTATTTATTTGTTACATTTTGTTTTAGTTAGGAAGGCCATGTTTAAGTCATGCCTGATGTGTCATTACACATCAAAGAATGATCCCAGTCTCTTCCACACAGGGAGGTATACAGCTTATTAATCAAACACTGGTATCGGATCGCTATTCTGTATCGGCTGAAACCCAGAGCCCAGGGATCGTATCAGGGCTGGAAAAGTCTGATCAGTGCATCCCTTGTGTTTAGTGGAACGGGGAGAGACATTTGATTACGTTCGCAAGTCAACCCACCTCTGTCAATCTTATTAACAAACTAAATCTTCAGGCTCTTCAATTATCCACCCAGTGGGGGGGTGGAATCTCATTCAGGAAATATTGTTTGTTTAAGTTGTTTTTGTGACTCAATCCTGACCCAAGTACTTTGAGATCTGCTGATATCAAGTCCGAGTCGATATTTAAAGAGCAACAAAGACAATGTGAGAGGAGGAAGAGGTGGATGGATGGATCGAACAAACAAAGACTTTCATCCCGGAGGCCGCTGTTCATGTCCTTTGCGAAACCAAAAATCATCATCATCATTAACTTCTTTTAAGTAACACAAGTAGGTAACGCAAAGTACTTAACTTGCGTCACATACGAAACGTATGCTAAAAGTCAAAGATATTCAGTTTGCAATGATGTTAAACAGAAAAAAGAACAAAATCGTCACATTGGAGAAGCTGAGACTCTAGACATTTCTTTCTCTAAAATATGACTAAATGAAAATGTAGTCTTTTGATCGACTATTTGACAAATCATCATATCCAAAACTATAAGTGATATATGATAAATGATATAGATGAAAGTTTAACTGGGAAACTTAAACATCTGAAAATGAGATGACGCAATGGCCTTTAGTATGGAGATAGATGTTTCATATTGTAACTTCAATGCCTGATGAAGGTTCATGACTGAATCGTCGTTCTAACAAACTCAGTGCTAACAGCGTGCTGTTAACCTTTTCTTGACTGCCACATGATTTGACTTATCTGTCTACAACATGTGCATTAGACAACACTGTACAGGCTGTAAAGCTAAAAATGTAATCATACACACCTGGCTGTCCAACAGAGTTGAGGCGGGTCATAAGGCGGCGTGCATTGGGCAGCAGCATGTGAACATCTGACAGCACAGTATCATGATGAAAAGTGATCTGGTTCATGGCTGATCATTCATGGTATGGAAGAGTAGAGCTCCTCCTGGAGAGACTGGACACACAAAGTACAGACACACAATCAACTCAATTCCTGCAGGTTAATTTATGAATGAGAAGTACAACTGGTTGGTCCCCAGAGAGGGACAATTGTAAGCATTCATGGAAATGATCAAATGTACATTAGCACTGAATTAGTAGTATTGTGTTTATTGTTATATTTGTATTGTTGGTTGTACTCTTCTACCACTCAAGTGCTTTACAACACAGCAGTCACCCACTCACACACTGGTGGCAGAGGCTGCCATATTGTTGTATGTAATATGACATACAAGGTGATCCTTTAATCAGAGGATCGGCGGTTTGATCCCCGGCTCCGCTAGTCCATGTCGATGTGTCTTTGGGCAAGACACTTAACCCCAGAGGCTGTGAATGAGTATGAATGTTAGATAGTCCTGGTGGACAGGTGGCACATTACATGGTAGCTCCTGTCATCAGTGTATGAATGGGTGAATGATGACATGTAGTGTTAAAGAGCTTTGAGTGGTCAGAAGACTAGAAAAGAGAGAAACTACAGCCCACTTACTATTTACACGTAGACTACAGGGACCAGGGATCAAACCAACTATGTAATAGTTGTGCTTAACATTCTTTCACATCACATGTGGCCCCAGCCTGGCCCCCCCCCATGTGAAATGCTCTAGAACCGCCACAATGGACATGGGGTTCTTTTAGGTATCAAAATGAATGCAGCAAAATCCGATGTATTGTCTTTTTTGTTCTATGCATTCTTCTTCATTGTGTGTGCTTATGTTATCTAGATTTTGAGTCAATTCAGTCTTTAAAGGGCGTTTTGGAGACCATAGTTTACTAAATGAACATCATGCTGTATTGAAGAAGACTTGAAACTATAGATTGAGACCATAAACTCATGTTTAAAATGTTTACTGAGGTAATTAATCAAGACAGAAGTAGAGTCATTTTCTCATAGACGTCGAAACAACCAGAGGAGTCGCCCCCTGGTGGACATTAGAAAGAATGCAGGTTGAAGGCACGTGGCTTCACTTTTCAGAACCAGAGGTTGGAATTAAGGTCTACACTTTGGTTCCTTTCAGTTCCCCCCCCCTGCTGGAGCAGTGATTGTTTTTGTTTTCTGTTCACAAAGCAAAATATTTCGGCTGTTTTTCTGATTTAGTTTTTCCGAGCTAGAGGATCGCATGCCTAAATGCTGTTGTTGTCCAAAGATATGCCTTTGGTGTGGAAGAAGGGAATCACCCGTTGCTCCAGGGAATCCAGGCTTCGGGCTTGGCAGACTCTCCAAAAAACGTTGTGGCGTTTGAGTGTCTGGTCTCCAACTGGCTGACATTAATGTGGTTCATGCAGGCAAGAGAGACATCTTCTTACACTCTCAGCATTTTGTCTTTTCAACTCCTTGACTTCCTCCATCAAATCCATTATTATTTTCTGCTGCTTAGAGACAGCTGCAATTTCTCCTGACAGAAGGTTGAGCAATTTCTTCATCTCCTCGTCCTTGTTCATTGCATTTTTTTGCATTTTGTGCAATGTATGAGAAAAATACCAAGCAAAGCAGTTGTAGTTAAAGAAGCCACCACAGGAATATTTTTAAGTAACATTTTGTGTTTTCCTTTAGCATGTGTACAAAACAAAGTTAATGGACTAACTATTACTGGCATCTGTGAGGAATTGAAGTATTAAAAGCATTGTTAGTATGATTAATAGCACCCCTAGTGGTGAATAAAAATGTCACAATATGTTAAATGTCACAATATATTTACCTATGGAATGTATTATATGTTTACTTATGGAGGATATTATATGTTACAGTAAATTTACTTATAGAAGTGTTAAACCATAAAAGCATAACCATTGAATGTATTAAACTAAAAAGTATAGTCACTGTATGTATCCAACACTGTAAAGAATAGTCATAAGGGCCAGAAAGGGTTTTCTGAGTGAGGCTTTTCAGAGCAAGCAGAGAATCGGCAGCACCGAGTCAACAGGAAGTGGTCAGCAGGAAGGACGTACTGTCCTTTCCAAAACCAGGAGGGGACTAATGGATTTTGGCCAATCACTGAAGCTGATACTGGACATTTGAACTTTCGAACTGGCAAGAGACATTGTTTCATAAAGAGCCAGATCATTCAAGGACTTCTGACTTCTGCAGGGGAATTAGTTTGATCTCTGTTTCATGAAACATTTACTATCGATAGAGTAATTCAGTTTGGAACTGTTTTAGCCTCTGTTAATTATTAAATACTTTTTTGATTATAAACCGGATCCAGCTGACTTTTTTGGCAAGCAGCAGCGGGAGACCAGCGGTCTTCCACAGTATAGAGGTTCTGAACTCAACAAATTACAGCATTATGCAAAAACAAGAACATGCATCTATTGATGTTGGACAAGTTTGGATGAGGAGTACAACTAAGGCCCCTAAAAGGTAGAAAAAAGGAAACCATGTTTTTTCATAACTTTCATATTGGATCTACTCCAAATATGAAAATAATAAAATATGAACTTCTAAAAAAGGGATAACGTCCCATCCTGCCTATAAATCATGTGTGTTTAAGTGTATAATTTTCCAAGGTGGACAAGGGTATTGATACAATATTTGCTTTACTGTATACAATGACTATCTGTGAACATCCAGTCCAAATGTACTGACCTTCTGATCATTACTTCCAGAGATACATGGAGAAGCCTACATCCTCACTGTTGTTGAGGAGGATCATCAACCCAAAAACATTAGATATTTTTAGAACTCGGGTAGTGGTCTCTAAAAAACGAAAGCCTTCTGTGGAGAGGGGGGCTCACATTACACTGACTCTGACAGTGTGGGGTTTTAAATAGAGTTGGTGTCCTCTCTCCCCTCCTAAACATGAAACAGACAGGTGATGGCTGTTTACTTTACTTAAATCTATCAATATTACCTAAACTACATACCGAACATGGAAAGAAAGTCTAAATTGTTCAAAATTCATTGTCTGAGCGCAACAGGCTGTGCCTGGTATAGGTGAGTATCAGCAACTTAAAATGAGTCACGAGAGGCTGAGTAGGGGAGACGAACCTGAGGACGGCTGGCCGTCAATGATTCAAGGATCCAGTGGCTGAGTTCTGTAGTTTTATCTAACTCTTGTGCTGAATATAGGGCTGCACGATTAATCGAATTTTAATCGCGATCACGATTTTGGCTGCCACGATTAAATGAGCATGATCGTCAGCGATATTGACGTTTAAAATGCGTGCTCTGTTACACATCAAATCAAGCGCTTCCTAACAGTCAGCCAACCACCAGGGGGCGAACGAGTTGGGAGGTGTCATGCGCGCACCCTGCAGCGCCAGCCTCAAAGAAAGTTCTGTCTGCAGTCGACTCCGCTATTAGTAGAAGAGTAGAGAGACAGACAACAGAACAGAGAGCAGACGGTCACGGGTGTCCTGTGAAAGCTAAATCAAATGTCAGGAGCAGAAGGCGAGGAGCTAGCCCCTCGAAAAGGATCATCATCCTTTGTCTGGAAGTTTTTTGGATTTAGGCCAAGTGATGTTAACCAAGAACAAATCATATGCACAGAGTGCGTTAGAGTTGTGTCTGCACCGCATAGCAATACAACTACCTTGTTCAACCACCTGAAAAACCACCACGACGACGAATGCATTAAGGCCAAAGCTAACGTTACCTCACTGAATCTACGTCCATGTCCACTGTCAACCCAGAAAACCATAACAGCGACCCTGCACAGCGCGACAGCGTATCCATCCACCTCCCAAAGACACACTGAAATAACGGATGCAATCGCATTTCATTTGGCCAAAGACATGTGTCCAATAAATACTGTGAGCAACACTCATATTTATTTTTAGTTAGCCCTTTATTTTGGGTAAAAATGTTATTTATATTTTGCTTCAGGTGAATAAGAACCGTATACGTTTTATTTTGATGCAGAGGCCTGTACATTAGCCAGAATGTAGCACAACAATGGAAGTGGAAGCAGTGTTCTTGCTCATTTAAACGTGAAAGTGCAATAAAAAAATGTTGTCCCTAAAATGAATGAATAATCGTGATAAATAATCGTGATCTCAATATTGATCAAAATAATCGCGATTATGATTTTGGCCATAATCGTGCAGATTATGTAGTGAATGTGTGTGTAACACATTCACATTGGCATGCATGGTTGAAAATGAGGCTTTATAATGAATTATAGCTGATTTAACAATCATAATTTCATCATTACTCATTTTGCCACCACAGGGTATACGTATGCAGGGATATTGAAGTTTCATTTAAAACCTTCCAAGAACTTTTTTAAGTCCCTTTCCAACATTTTAAGACCGAGTCGCCTCTTTGAGTTCTGACCGGTTACATCAGCGACACACCTTAACTTAAATGTGTTATTCACTGATTGTATACGATCACAACTAAACAAACAGTCTTAGTTCCTGAAAACTTCTATCAATAAAACATAATTATGACAATTATGACGGAATGGAAACAAAGCACCATAGAATGAAAAGAGTGACTGACCTAATGCAAGGTTTATTAGAAATACTAATATCTTATAATATATCTATTTATTTATTTTACTCACAAAAACACACACTTCAACTTTTTCTTATTAGGCTACTATATCAATTGTATTTGTTATTGTCTTATGTGTACACACATAAGACAATAACAAATACAATTGACATTTACTTTACTACTATATGTACTACTACATGCACTTGTATAACTTGGATACACGTTAATAAGAGGTAATATCTGGTGAGCTTCAGAGGGGTGGGGTCATGGATGACCAATATGCATCATGGTCTCCATGATCATGACATGTGCACATTAATGATGCACACACTACACACAGAAAGCATTAAATGATCCACACATCCACTTGCTACCATATATTGTTTCCAGTTTACGATGCACCGTTCTTTAAATATCACCACTGTCGATATGAACCATGCACGCTGTATATACTGTATATAGAAATGTATTGTATATACACATACTGTACATAATCATCCAGTTCATATGAATTCTGTATTTCTTTAAACTATTTGTATAGTTTACATCTTACAGAGGCACTTGACTTGTATATAGACTTTGTATTGGTATTGGTGGTCACTGGTGCTTTTTATATATCATGATATACAGTGTTTCCACATACTTGTGAACAGTCTATTCTTTCATTGTAACTGCGCAACAGATCAGCTGGACCCTGATGATCATATCATATATAATATATATCACAGATAACTGAGGATTAAGCCTACAACCTCCATGCAGGAAGTCCGTCACTGACCAGCGGATAGTCTCAACACTCAGCTCGTTTCAGAGAGGTTTTGGGAGATAAAAACATGCCCTACCGTCTCGAGAACATCGGTGGACCGCGCACACCCACTCTGTCATCTGATGTCGAAACGAGTGCACCCAGTAAGTCGTCCGGACTGGAAAAGTACAAACATGGCTTCCGTTCCGCCAGAAAAAGACGGTGGGGCTGTCGTTCACAATAATAATAATAATAATAACAATAATAATAGTAACAATAAACTTTATTTATACAGCACCTTTAAAAACAGAGTTTAAAAGCATCAAAACGCAAGGCAAAAAATGAGATTTAAAAACAATTAAGAAACATTAAAAACAGTCATTAAAACACTAAAAAGCTGTGTAAGAAATAAAATACAGTAAAATGCAGAAATGCAGGAAATTGATTAATATCCTTGAATCTGGTTCAATTAAAGGCAACAGCAGCAATGTAGTACATAAACACAGAAACATCATTTGTGGAGACAGAATAGAAAGCATGAATTACAGTTTTTTTTCATTTCTTTTACACGTATTTGCAAACAAGCCTCTCGCTGCTATGTTGGCTTCCATTGTTGCTGAAAACAGGTACTCACCTTTTGGCGTTTTATATTGCTTACATCCTGATTAATGTGTAGACAATCAAGCAGTTAGCTGTTTGGCCAGGTGGCACATGTATTGGCCAATTGATGGATGTGGCATTTTTAATTTCAGTGTTCTGAAATGATAAACAAGAGTGTTGTGTCTCAGAGAACTGTGTTCAGTGTGTTGCAAAAAGTGCCATGTTGAATTGCAAATTGGGTGCAAAGCAGAAAATATGTTTTGAGTTTTGGAGACTTGGGCTGCGGTTTTGCTCTCTAAGTGTTCGTCTCAATAATTGACTTTTCTACCAGAATGAAGAGAAAGTCCTGTGTGGCTGTTCTGTCCTTCCTGCATCACAAACATGAGGGGACACAACTTTCACCACACTGTCACACCTGCACCTCCATGTGGCCTTGCACATTCTATTGCTGGTATAGGCCTGTTTCCATTTTTTTTACTTTTGTGGCTGAAAAATATATTCAAGTCTTTGTCAGGTGTAACATTTTTAAAATGCACTCTCTGACTGAGCCAAAAGTGTTTCCATTCCAGGTGGAGGGGCCGTCCCACACCTGCCTCTGTTGACAGCAGTGGTCTCTGCAGCTTGGTTGGTACTAATCCTGTAGATCAGATGCAGGTTGTTGGTGTTCATACATTATTCAGAGCAGTGATTGTCAAAGTGTGGCCTGTGGCACTCTGTCAGGGGGTCTGCAAAAGAATTTACTATAAATGATCAAATTGTGCATCACCATTAAAAAGCTGGGGACCATTTGCACCAATAACACGAGCATATTGTGTCCATTGTTCCCACCCACGTTTGCTTCGGGCCAATAGAAACACTGATGTTTTGTGACACACAGCAATGAATTCATTAATTTTAACTTGACGCACTTAATGCAGGTCAGCTTTAGACTGATAAGTTTAAATGTCTGGATTTATTATGCCAGACTGGCATAATAAATGTAATGTAAAAAGAAATCAAGTTGAGTCCAAATGCAATTCAAATGAAATCTCCCTCTGTTCAAAGGTCAGCGGTTTTAACATTTAATAACATTTATTTATTTAACCTTTATTAAGATAACAGACTTAAAAACTAAACAGCAAAAAGTCAAAAACAACATAAACAATTCACATAAAAGAGACGACAGACTTAAATCAAACCAGCTTTCAAAGAATTGTCATATTCACAAAGTTTCCCTCTCTGTGGGACTAATAAAGGATCATCATGAATTACATTGACATGTGTTTCTGTTTATCATATGAAACAGCTCTAAGTATTTAGGTTGGAACGTTTTATAATACAAATAGTTCCACTGGCAGTAAGCACATGCATATTCAGTGGTACGAATATGATTAAGAGAGGGTCCATAGAACATGTTCTCCTCTATTAGAGGTCCCTGGCCTCAACAAGTTTGAGAACCCCTGATTCAGAGAATGAGGAGTGCTGCACTGTTACAGAGCAGGAGTCTGTCAGTCTGTTTTATCTCAAACTCTAAAGATCCCTAAACTAGACGCAAGCATGACTGTAGATTCTACTCTCAGACACCAGCTTTCCATCTGGATCAGAGCTGGTTTGAGTTACAGAACATCTGGAGCTGTAATAAAAGTTTCCCACCAGAGAACCAATGGGGGCCAGTAACATGTGCAAAGAAGCTCTCTGTCCTCTCTCCAGCTGTTCAATGGGACATGGGTCCAAGCTGCATGATGTGTTCGTGTTTGTACTGACTCTCTTCTGATAACCTTCTTGACTCAACTCGTCAGCTTTCAGGTAGAGGTTGCCCTCATTGATATTAAACTATACGTCCACTTGTATCAGTTGCATCACACTCTGCAGTTTCCCACTCAGTCTTGATTCTAATTGTCTGAATTACAATTTATCAAATAATTATTTCACTCAGTTTTCATGTTGCTGATTTGGATGTTATTTGAATCTCTTAATAAAGACCAGTCTGATTCTGCTCAGTGCTGCTTTTTATTACACAGAAGCCACAGAATGCAAAGAGCAAAGGTGTAACTGGAAAAGGTGTTTATGATGTGCTTTGTGTTGAAATACAAATAAAGCTTTGTTGAAAAAAAGGCCAGAGACCTAATCAGAATAAGCCCCTCCTCCTGTAGAGAGAGCGGCCTGAGACACACACACACGCACACACACTCATCCCTCGCTGCTGCCGACTCCGGATCCCCGGTAAGTGTAAGACTTCATCGCATGCCGGCTCATGAACGACCGTGTCCGCAGAGAGAGAGTTGTCCGGATCAAACATTCGTCCTGTCGTATTGACGCTCGGTCGTTCACGTCTGCGGGTGCTCGGGCTTGAACCGTTAAAGCGTCGGGATGCGCGGCGTTCGACAGCGTCCATGTCGGGAAGCAGTTGGAGCAGCATCGGTGTTGACTCAACATCACAAAGTGATGTGCTATTAGTGCCCTGATAGGATCCATGACTAATGAACAGGATCTCTGGTGTGAGAGCCGGCCGGCTCTAGTCGGAACCAGATTCAAACATGCACAAACAACATCCATCTAAACAAATCATTTCAATGCATTTGCCTTTGGCACAACAGTGACAGTACTCCTCACACTGACCACTCAGCATATTTCACCTTCCGCTTATAGAAGAGCAGCCTTAGTTGTAACTCAACATTCAGCAGTAATAACCACAGTAAATAAATACGTGTATTTGTTATACCTTATCAATGATGTTGTTCTTTTTGTTCCAGGGCCCGTGCAGCTTAGTTCTGGACATCTCCAGGTCTCACAGCAGACATCAGCAGGTAGGGAATTTATTAAGATTTCATTTCACTCTCCAGATGTGTATGAAGCCTCCACATTGTTTTACTACACACCTGCACTGCCTACCGGCCAAGCATGGTTCCGACTTTAGGGTAGAGTAATACTCTGTACATTAAAATCATCTATGATACATCATGATATCGGTTAGGTAAAGTTAGAAAGATATTGACAGATTCGGACTTCCCGGTTCAATAA